TCGTTCTCGATAATTCTCGATAATTTGAATTTTTATGCATATCGAAAAAAAAAAAACGAATCCCCTTGCCATTTCAAATTATCGGCATTCTACTGTAATATATTTTATTGATTTATAAACAACGTAAAACTAATTGGTAAAATTAGAGCTAACTTAGGCTTAGACACTGTTAGCTGGAGCCTTCGCCTTCATGGAGTAATTTATAATTTATTATTATTCTTTGATATATGAAGATACAGTTTTTCCAGCAACTTTTCCGATATATAGCCCACTGTGCGGGAAACCCGTTTGTGGCAGCGAATGCCAACGAATTTATGCGCCGTCTGTTAACTGTCTCCTGTGTTGCTTTGCAGATGCGCCTCCGCTCGACTGGACCCAGCGCGCAGATGTACGCAATTCTAGTTGGACTGGTGAGTATGCCAAATAGTCCTGGCCAAAGCGAGAGAGAGAGAGAGAGAGAAAGAGAGAGAAAGAGAGACAAACAGATGTAAATGTAAAACAATTGACAGGCGACGCTGTTGCCCGCGGTGCTGGGACATGGAAGGTTAATGGATCCGCCGGCACGGAATGCGATGTGGCGCTTCGGCTATCCCAATCCGGTTAACTACAATGACAACGAGCTCTTCTGCGGCGGCTATGCGGTGCAGTGGGAGCAGAACAGCGGACGCTGCGGCGTCTGCGGCGATGCGTACCATGTGAAGTCGCCGCGGCCGCACGAGGCGGGCGGGGAGTACGCCAAGGGCATTATCTCCCGCTACTATACGGCTGGCCAGGAGATCGACGTGGAGGTGGAGCTGACGGCCAATCACTACGGCCGCTTCGAGATGTATCTCTGTCCCAACAACAATCCGCGGCAGGAGGCCACGCAGGAGTGCTTCGACCGCTATCCGCTGTTCATCTCGGGCAGTCGGGAGCACCGCTTCCTCATACCGCGCGACACCAAGAAGAAGGACATCTTCCGCTATCGCGTCAGGCTGCCGCCCTACGTCACCTGCACCCAGTGCGTCCTCCAATGGACCTACTACACGGCCAACATGTGGGGCACCTGCTCCAATGGCACCGAGGCCGTCGGCTGTGGCAAGGCGGGTGAGTTCTCTGCTTCGCTGCCTCTCTGCGTCCATTGGCCCAGCGGCGACTCATCCTTCTGGCATTTGCAGAAACATTCCGTAACTGTGCCGACATCGCCATCATCTCGAATACCGGCGGCGGCGTACCGCCCATCTTTGTCAACAATAGATCGCCCTACCTGCTGTACTATCGTGACTACCGGGCACCCGACGACAACAATGTGTTCCCCTTGATTGTGCGGTAAGTGTGTTGGTGACAACCGATGCCTTGAATGTCAAATAACCGATTCGTAACCGGTTGAATGTGTATTTGCACATAACCGATTCATTACCGGCTATAATTAGGTCAGTACATAACCTGTTGATTCCCGGTTGAATATGTCTGTACTTAACCGGTTCATTCCCGGTAAAACATCGGGGTGTACGTTACCGATTCAGTACCGGTTAAAAATATGTCTGTACTTAACCGGTTCATTACCGATTGTAAATCTGCTTGTACATAGCCGGTTCATTTTCGTTTAAAAATAGGTTTGTACGTAACCAATTCATTACCGGCTGAAAATATATTCGTACATCGTTTCATTTATTCGGTGATCGCTATATAGCTGAAACGATATCTATCGATTTTGAGCCAATTAAAAATATTTTAATAACCGATTCAGAACCGTAGTATCAATAATCGAAATTGATTTGTAATTATATTACTAACGGAATCCTAATCGATTAAATTCTCAACCGATTCAAAATATATCGACTACTGAAATGTGATCAATTCACTTTCAAACTGATTAACATAAAAATCTACTCAAGCCGGAATATAAATTCCTGGGTTGTAATCCACCTACCGATATTTAGACATTTGCAATCGATTAATATCGATTCTCGGAACGTATCAAATCACTTACCAATTCGCAGCAAGCTCTTACAAACAGTCCATTAACAATTTATAACCGATTCGGAAGGGACAACCCGATTAATGCCAGTCTTACAAGCTGTGGTAAATTGACACTGATATACCCAATGGGTTAGGCTATGAAAACATTTACCTCCTAATTTTATTGTATTATACATATATTTAGTACATATTCTTTATTTTACTTTTTCTTCTATCACTTACTTAACCGATTCGCTTTTGCTTTATTTTTCACTATTTTCGCTTCTTTCTATTCTTCACTTCTTCGATTTATCATTTCTGCCTCAACTATCGTCGGATCTTTTCCAAATTCAAATTTTCTCTTGATTATCTATAATAGCTATCTATTCCTCAGAGTCTCTTTAACCGTTTCAGTTAGTTTACGAATTTATCTTATGACCGCTTCAAAAACGAATATCGCAAAATAATTTTCACTCCTTGCTTTCTATAATCTTTTATTTCTCTTACCAACGCCAACTCTTCAAGACCTATGCAATCTTTATCATAACCGTTTCCGCTTCCTTAACCGCTTTCAAATCCAAGTTTTTACACTATTCCCGATTGGATACAAACACATTTCTAACTTTTGCTTTGCATTTCCATTTAGCAATGCCACGCGGCATGCGCGCAAACGCAAACCACCAACCGCTTAACCGCTTACCCGCTAAATAAAAAAAATTTAAAAAACACCAAACAAAAAATACCGCTAAAATCCGCTTACCCGACACACAAAGTTTTTCTAGCTAAAGCAGCGCTGCACCAGGTCTACACGAAACGGGTAAAGGTCAACTGTAAATTATAGAGCTAAGATGCAAATACCGGTTATGGTGCCACAACACACGCTCAACACATACACACACACACACAACACAACACACACACATACACATGCATAACTATATTTTAGCTGTATATAAAGAAAATGCTTGAAATAAACTTATTTTACTCAAATTTATATAACTCGTTTTATATAATTGTTTTTGTCTGTCGAAGGCGAAACGGTTAACCGTTTCGAGTTGTGAAATCTTTCAGCAGATATTTTATTAAATCAATATATTTATATATACTGCTTTTATTGTATATACGCTAACGGTTTACCGCTTCACAATAATATAGCCTTATTATTTAGTCGAAACGGTTATTGGCCAAAATGTTTAGATTAAGCCTGAAGCAACTGAATATAGAATGGAAAAAAATGGCTGGAATTTGATACCAAAGGTTGCGAAAATATTTACTAGAATTGAAGTGGGCTCTAGAATTTATAGCTTTTTTACTATAAGATCTCTACTATATGAAGAATTGGCTATAATTTGTTAAAGTTTATATTGTTTTTATTGGCTTTTGTCTTAACCTTTTCTTTTCGCGGTATATAGCTAACTTTAAAGCTAACTCTTAAAAGTCATAGCTAAAGCGAACCAGTTAAGACTTAAGCATTTGTAAATTGAATGCAAAATATAGCTAGATTTTCCTATAACTTGCCAAAACGCAAAGAAAGTTTTTTATATATTTTTTTTTATTGACTTTTATTTTAGCCTTTTTATGCTTTTTTTTTTTGGCTATAATCTTCGAATCGTTTCGCTTCGAAATCATAAAGCCCAATTTTCTTATCAATACACACATTAAATTTTATTAACATTCGAGCCTTGATCCTTAACCCTTTACCCTTGGCCTTGGCGGGCCTTTTTACAGTAAAATGAAGGCACAAAAAATATGGAAAGCAAATTGAGAAAACCAGAAAATAAATATATATACATATACATAAAATATATATAYTTAGTCTGATGATTCCAGTTGCCGTCTTTGATATAAATGATTTGCCAGCGATAGTTTTCACATGTTTTTGTTCGAGCATTAATTCCGTTTAAATGATTTCCACTTTATTTGCGGCATGGATGCGGTGCACACATTTGAGCATTGCGCGTAATCAAGTGGAAATGAATTTGACCAACACAAGAGGTTTTTTATTTCCACTCGTATTTACTTTTTATACCCTGTGGAGGTAAATGGGATTGACTTACGGGCGGTCTTGATAAGCCTGTGAAAGGCTCGCAATTTTATAGTACATGAGCAGTGGGAGATGATAGTAGAAATGTTGTGCTATAATATGGAGGAAATTTTATTCTATTTCTTATAAAAGTTGTATATATACGAACTACATTTTTATATGAACTTAGATAACGTAAAATGAGTACATTTTTGTAAATAAATATTTAAATATAAATAAAATAAAAAATAATGCAATTTATTGTACATTTCAGCGCTATTTCCATATTCACTGTAAACTAACTATATGATCTCTGGAATTATAAGAGCTGATGCTCTCAAATTTGGTATGTGAATTGTCTTTTGCCCTATTAATTGATTAATAATTTAATCAATATTTTATTAGAACAAGATATTATCAAGGTTATACAATATTTTATAAATTTATTGGTTCAAAATAAAAATTTTAGCATGCTGGAATTTTTCATATGCATATATTAGTATTAGCATTGTTCAATGTTTAGAATTTTGGTCTTTCTAGTGAAAGAGAAGTATATTTGCTATGAAGCTTGGTATATCGGCTTCCAATGTGTACATCTATCCTATATCTTTTATCTATCTGTATGCTTATCCTCTATATACTATATACTATACGTATCTGTAGCTGTCTATAGACATATCTATATCTATCCGAAATGCAGGGTATTCGTCAGTCTGACACCATTCGCATTCGGTTGATATTTTGCTCAATATTTGCCTGGTTCCTTATGCAGAGTGCGATTATTATTGTGATTATTTGTGGTGCCCCATTAAAATGATTTTGTTATGCTGTTGCCAGGGCCACTGAGCTGTGAAAACCAAAAGGAAAAATATATATAAAATATATAAATTGCATTTGCCAGCAAGCATTTCAGTTGATCAGCCAAAAACTGTGACCAAACAACACGGCAGGATCCGCAGCGTGCAACTTTGGTGCAAGGCCAAATGCTGGCCACAAGAACGCGGAGCTCGAGCTGCGTTTCAATGCCAAATGGCTAAAGCTGGGCGCTTGGGTGTAAATTGATGTGTGTGTTGTACGGTTAACCCACATAGGCCAAAATATGCCATTTACATTGGCCACACCAAGGACACTACTTGACACCGGCCAGCCAAGGCGATGCTCAAGGACGACGCACAGTTTGCAGGCAGCTGAGATTTCTCAATTTGTTCGCCTGCGCTGCTGACAGCCCGTCCACAGCGGGCGCAATGTCCTTTCACGACTCATCAGCGTCCTGTTGCGCTAGCACGTTTCAACGTTTCAGTGTGGATCGCACTCCGAGCACTACTACTGCCCATCCGCCTGTCCGGCTGTTGTCTTGGCAGTTGGCCTCCCTCTGGTGCGCTGCTGGTGCAAATCGTTGGCATTTAGCACAGTCAACCTCTTGCTGCTCCTCCTGCTGTTGTCCTCTCCGCTGCCTTTCAGCCGGCAGCAACAATTGCCAACTCTGATTTCTAATTCATATAGTTTTTGCTCAAAGGCGAATGCGAAGGCGAAGGCGAAAATAACACCTGAGGCCGCATCATACGATGTATCCTTTAGCCTTTTGCAACTCAATTTGAGGCAATCTACGGAGCGTGCAACAAGTTTCTCAACAAGTTTCTCCACAATTTCTCCACATTTCGGCTTTGATCTATTGTCGGCATATGTAATTTGAGTGTTTGGTCTTGTCTCAAGTGTTTCGGGGTTTTGTAATTAACCGACATTCGAACACATCGTCACAACTTCAGGTTGCATTGCCCCTCCACGCCCTCCGCCACTGCCTTCACTTCAGTTCAGTTTAGTTTAGCTCAGTTCAGTTCAGTTTTGGGCGCATGTGTTTCGTCTCTTTCGACCGCTGGTGTCGGATTTCCACATTAGCTGCAGGCGGCGCCCACTGCTCCACGTTTAGCACAATCACACACACACACACACCCAGTCACGCACACACAATCATAGTCAGTGCCTCCTCTTTCGCGTTAATGAGAAAGTGTCACTGATTTGACGTCTGTCGTCAGCGCCTGCGCCGGCAAAAGACCAAACGATTCGTCAACTCGGCTGTCAGGCGGCGAGGTGTGAATCCAATTCTATAAAAGGCTTGCACTTGCCAGCAGGAAGCTGTCTGTTTTTAGAGGTTTCATCGATTGTTGGCAGCGCCAAAGCTCAGCTAGTTGACACAGTTTTTCATCATCACATTATGCAGTAAATTATGAGTGTAAAAAAATTAGAATTTAAATAATGAATTTCAGTTTTTTCATTTCGCTATGGGCTATATAAATATTGACTAGAGCATATATAATTGATTGTCTTAGTCTGAATAAGACAAACATTGACGAAAATAAACAGATACGTTCAGAGCAATAAATACCTTAGTTATATAGGCATAAACACTCAATAATTAGATCATCTAATGAAAATTATTTTTGGTAACATTCGACGCCCTACAGAAAAATAACAATTACATTTCATGTTAAGAATTCTAATAAATTTTTGATGGATGACCAAATATGTATATTTGAAGGCAATTCAAAACTGTAGTCAGTTGCTATAAGTAAGAGCTGTTAGGTGACTTAATAATATGATGTCATATAATATCATAAATATTTAAGAATTTTACTTTTATATTCGGTTAAAACATTTATACATACATATATGTCCTTATGCTACCTCAAGGGAATGCCTTTTGAGCCAGCTACGTTTCCCAGCTTAATGTGAGCCAATGTCAAAATCTACTCATTCTTTTTTTTTGATAAAACCGTTTACTGTATAATTTTGGGTTTCATTTCCCAAACCTTTTTGTTGCAAGTGTAAAAACTCCAACTCCTTGCCCTATTGATGAAAATATGTTCAATAACAACTGCACGAATTAGAGCCTCAGCGAACAGGTAATTCTAACACCTTAAGCTTTAGAGAAAACCAAAATCGAATAGCTCTATAGAGAATCAGAGCATTTTCTCTCTGTCAGTCTCTGATGTCGCGTGATTTTGTGCTAATCTTGTGATTTGTTGAGAGATTGACAACATTATCAGGCATTAAAGGGAGGGCGGCAAAAGATGACAACGGCCGCACAGTGGGACGAGCTGAACATAAAAGGACAACGAACACGAGGTAGTTGCATTGTTGCCAACGTGCCGAAAGACGAGACAAAGCTGTTAGCGCAATAAAAGCCGAAAATGTCACCTGAAGCAAATGCAGCCGTTCCCAAAATACAGGACAAAACAAAACAAAACCAAATAGGGGAAAAAAAAACTGGAAGAAAAATGGAAGAAACTCCCGTGTAAAGGTGCAAAATGTGAACCTCACTGTCGTAGCCACATAGCCGGATCGGTTGACTTTGATGCTTTGTTTTAGGGACACGTTATCACATTGTCAGCGGCGGCAACTAGAAAGCGGCCGCAAGTCCTAGATCTCAATTAAAAGGAGAGAAGACGAGCATCCTTAAAGTCCCCCTCGCCCTCGTCGCGGCCGTCGTCCAATCTGCTGTCTATTGAGACATCAAGCGTGTTGAGCATTGGACGATGACTAAACCAAATGAAAGCCGAACTGTGCACGTTGCGCCGCAGCGGGTGTCCTTGATTTATGCGACGCTGATCCTTGATCCTAGCGCGCTGAGCACACGCAATCAAAGAGAGCGAGAGACAGCTCTAAATATATATATATATGTATTCGATCAATACAGCGCGTGCAAAATGTTAGCGC